GAAATTCATCAAAATATGTATAAACTTCTCAAATAACAAATAAAATATTTTTAAGTAAAAAAGGGAGATTAACAAAGAAGAAGGAGAGAGCTAGGATTGGAGGACAAAAGAGGTTAACAGAGTCATTGTGATCAAAATACAAAATGTTGAAATGAAACCTATTATTATCATCATCGGTATATGCTAACAAAAATTTTAAAGGGGTAGATTTGGGAAAAACATAAATTGCTCTAAGTATACCTTAATTCATGACTACATCCTAATACCTAAATCATCTAGACTACAGGCAACTGTGGATGGATAAGTACAGAGACATAAAGATGAATAAGCTTGAACTTACCTTAAGTGTGGACGATGATCCCCTCCTGAAAGAGCACATTGTGTTCAGTTCTGTCCTAAGCAGAGGAATGCTACATCAGGGTGTTCAGTGGAACATCTGCTGTATAACCTTTTGTAAACTTTTCCCTGAGGACTGAAATATTAGGCAATCATTTGCTTTCCCAGAAATATATCAGTGGGGAAGAAGTTGCTCACCCAACTCCAGGCCCTTTCAGAAAGCATTCATTAAAGTTACCCTGCTCCTTTACAAAGGGCTAACCAAAAGCCAAAAGTAGATAACTCACTGTGGCATAGATGACCAATATGTAGCAAGGTTGGTAAAGCCATAGCAAAGCATCAGCTATAGCAAACAGCTAGTGAAAAAAATGGATTATAGGTTATGAAAAGTAGATATTGATAACCATCTATTATAACTGAGATTTTGCTTTAGAACAGTGGTTCTCAAAGTGTGGGTCATGACCCTTTTTGGAGGTGTTGAATGATCCTTTCACTGGTTTGCCTAAGACCATTGGAAAATATAGATATTCACATTAAGATTCATAATAGTAGCACAATTATAGTTATGAAGTATCAATGAAAATAATGTTATGGTTGAGGTGGTCACCACAGCATGGGGAACTGTATTAAAATGTCATAGCCTTAGGAAGATTGAGAATCACTGCTCTAAAGGAAAACATTGAAATGAGAATGAGACATGTTCATGATGTACTGAACAGTTATGAGGATTTTGTTTAGCATCTACATAGATGAAAATTTCAGATGCAATTCTACACTTTCATGAAGTAGTCAATAAAATAGCATGCTGACCCTTTCTAAAGCTGCCATTATCTAAAGCTAACCTCTAAGGGTCTTAATAATTAAGCAATGTATTAGGAGAAAACTGACAACTTACCAGCTAAAGACAGCTGTTAAAAGAATGAGTAAGATTTTTACACAGGCATGGGGAAAAGCATTCCTAACAGTTATAAGTTTATTGAATGAAATGCCACTGCCTGCCCTATGTTCCCTCATTAGGACTTAGTGGACAAGCAAGGTTTCTAGATCTTCTTACACCATTCAGGCTGTTGTCACTATAGATAGGCACTTGTGGGAAGGAACTGAGTGGACCCAGTTGCTGAAAGACATTTCATGGTCTTATTTCATGATCTGGAAAAATCAGACTGGAGTTGAACTGGAATCTTCCTCCATACTACTTGTTTCTCAGTTCCAAAGACACTAAGGGATCTGCCTGGGGAGAACTGACACCAGTGAGAGAATTCAATTATATGCTAATGCCAGGGGGGAGCACAGAAAGGCATGTCCACCACAACCACTGTGACACAGCAGTTCTGATTACAGGAGTAATGGCTAGTTAAACTGCTACAAAAAAAAATGATGGGTGCTGTGACGTACTGGCTCAATATTGAGTAAAAAAAAAACACATACATATATCACCCTCTCAAAGAGGCTTGAAATTTGTAAACCTTTACTGAAAGAATGCAAGAGTATGAGAAAGGAGAAGATGTGATAGCATACAAAAATTTATACCTGGACTGATATGTCGTTAATGATCATGTAGTCAACTTGGCCTTGGAGAGCTCTACATTGACTTGGACACTAGCTATGCCCTACAAATAGCAGACACACAGAGAAACAACAATTCTGTGATGACAGTGATAACACTACTAACATTTCCAGAAGCAGGAGGGTCATTGGAAAAATACCCAGCATTATAAAACTTGTTTCCTTCCTGTTACAGCTGTGAGTGGCCTTGCAGCAATCTGCTAGAGTACATAGGAGGTAGAAAGCAAACAGAGATTAGAACTCCAGGGCAGCAGCCTTCTCCAGTGGCCCACTTACTGTGGTAGAACTTCTCTGAGATGCAGCTGTCATTGACTCAACCATGCTTCTGTAAGTAAGCTCTCACTCATGCTCTGAATAAATCTGATCAGTCTGTGAGTTCTCTGAGGTTATGAGATGGAATCCTTTTGGTAGAGTCCTGTCTCAGACATCTTGTGTTAACAGACTTGTCTATTTGGCTATGAGATGGAATCCTTTTGGTAGAGTCCTGTCTCAGACGTCTTGTGTTAACAGACATGTATATTTGTTCAAGTAACACAGGACCAAGCTTAGGAGAAATTTTACAGTCTAGGAGGAATCTTCATGGGGTTATAGGAGACACTGTTTACAGAGGTTCACAACATGGGGACCCTTTTCTTTATGTCAAGGGCAATAATTAACTTGTATTCCTTATCTTACTTGAAGTGATGAAGGAAATGGGATGGGTAAAGCCAGATGTAGTAGTCTGTAATCTCTGTGCTGGGATAGCAGAGGCAGATTGGTCTCGAATCTGGCTGACCAGTCAACATAGTCTACTTAGGGAGTTCCAGGAGAGTGAGATTTCATCTCAGCAATTATAAAATGAAAGTGTGGCTGATATTTAAAAATAACCCCTGAAGTTGTTCTTTGCCTTATATACATACTTGTACTCATGTGAATGCACACATAAATGCCCATATACTCTAAAGCATTCTAATGGTTAGAGAAAGGCATTCTAATGGTTAGAAACCATGGATGATGCTTAAAAACCTTCAATTGCCATGACAGTTTCTAGAAAAAAAAAAAACTATAGTTCAAAGGTTGATTTTGCTGAGATTCAGAAATGGTAATTTACTGGGAACACAAGAGTCAGTATGTTCAAATTGTCACAACTCAGAAAGAAGGAAAGGTTTTCTTGTTTCTTGCATGTTAAACATGAGTTTGACCTCTTGAATTAACCTTTAAAACTTTCAGTGCTGAGGCCTAGAATAGACAAAGATAGCAGATGCATTTCTTACATCCTTGACTAATCGGGAGTTATGAAGTTATTTGAATGGCAACAATATATTTATTAACAGTTGCTGGTATTAAAGTTCTGTAGGTGACAAGAACAGCAAAACAGAATTTTACAAAACGTATTTTATGAAATAGAGAACAAAAACATTTTTCTACTTCACTTCAAATTAGATTACGGAAATGCTTCAGGTGAAATTGGATAGTACACTTATACATATATACATATGCATGTATCTAAAGAGAGATAGATAACTATTGAATTTATATTTATATATGAAATACACGTAATTTTATAAAATAATGTCTGAAACCAAAATATTCATGAAAAATGAAAGTCTATAATAGGAGTTTATCTACTAATAGCTTAGCTATTTACCTAAGAAACGCTTAGTAAAATTTCATGTACAAAATGTTTAGATCCACTTACTTGTGAACATTTGAGTTTAGGTGTTCTTTAGGCATAAATCTTTAACATTGGCCTCGTATATCCTGAGCACATATTCAATGCATCATCAAAATTATTTAGACTACTGAGAGTCACATTTCTTTTTTTACAAATTATTTATGGGTAGTGTCAAAAAATGTAAAAAGTGATATTAACTTGGATTCTATATCTAGATTCTTTTTTGTTAAGAGTGTAACTGTTGGTATGTTATAGATTTATCACTATCTGTTTAATGATTCAGCAAATTAGGGAGGAATTCAACAGTCGTCATTGTCAAAAATATAAAGCTAATATTTTTACAGAACAAGAAACATAGATAAAATGAAGATTCCTAGGACTTCCGTACTCATGTGATCAAAGATAAAACTCCACATGGGGCAGAGAGTCCAAACAAGGGTTGGGGTAACTTACAACTAGTAAAGGGGTTAGTTACAGGCTCCAGGAGAGGTGAGGTGCAGTCCACCTGGGTACTCTGGAGAACTCTGCTTGGTCTACCATCCAGCATCCAAGATCACTAAGAACCAAGAGAGCTGACACATCTGGATCTCGGGTCTTAAGGCTCCCATCTCAGCCCTGCCTCAGGGGCAGGTCATAGGTAGACGTGACAATTACCACTGGGGGTAGTACTTCCAAGTCAGAGCTGAAACAGCTACCTATTACATAAAGTTCCATGTGGGGCAGAGAGTCCATAGTGTTGGCATTCTGCCTCTCAGCATTGATTAATAGGGCTTAGCAAAAATCACATAACCTTGGAAGACTCTCTTTCATCAGTACAGTTTGATGATATTACATAGGCTCACCCTTCTCATAGGTTATTGTAAAGCTCGACTTCACAGAAAACACAACCTAAGACTTTGGTAAAATAGCATGGCTTTATTGGGAGTTAGTAAATCCAGCATACAGTATGCTTTCATGACTAATGAATTCTCATGACTTTTATTATTAAAAACTAAGTAATCATGTCTTTACTCTTATTGGGTATGAAGATACAACAAACAGATAGTGTACTGTCCTTGACAAATGCAAACACTGCTTGCTGAGTTAGAGACAAAGCCTTGGAGAATAAGACCACTGAAGTTCAGCATAAATTCTCAAAATTAAATCATCCATGGTGAATGATTTGAAAACACTCACTTAGAATTAACTTATGGTCAAATGTTAAAAAACTTCAATGTTGCTTCTGATAGCCAACCAAAATTTTGCTACATCAAATATGTCAATGTAATGTAGTAACAAAATTAATTTTTACCGTATAATATGGTTATTCCTTAATACAGCAGGATATGAGGGAACTGTATCATGGAGGAGACCGGGCAGAGTTTATAAAGGTGCTTTTGTAAGCAAGAAACAGAAATATGGATCTCAACAGAGATTTTGTTTCTGTATATCAGGGACTACTCAGATGCTGTTGGTGTCAAGCCTCCTCCTGTGGGAGAACATGGCCTCTGCATCCATGGATACCAGTGTGTTTAGCAATGGTGAAGTGTCCCTCAAAGACCATTTTGATGATGCTATCATATTGTCCAAGACCATCAGTGAGCTTGCTACAGAAATTCGAAGGCTATTCGTACGTACCTCACTGGTCCCAGGTATCTTTCAACAATAGATGTCCCTAACAGTAGTGGTAGTGCATTACAATCTAACAGAAATCTTCATGAGCTAAAATTCAGGTACTACACCTTCATATGTGAAAGCAAGCATCTGTCTCCAAGAAGCAGGGAAAGAAATTCATGACCTCTTAAAGAATTACAAACAAATGACTTAAAAGAATAAACACTTTTTTAAAAAAAGTTTCTAGAACACCCACTTCCTGATCTTGCTTGTAGGAGGCCAAGTCTACTGCCTTCTTCATTAAGGAAGCACAGTTATTTAATCAAGTGCACAGCCATGAATTAGGTGAATAGAATAGTAGTAAATTAAATTACAATAGATTCAAGATGGGAAAAAAGTCATAGGTTTTTGTAGTTTAAGTTTTCCTGTGTCCACCCGGCTCCTGCGCCCTTGCATTTCCACAGCCCTCAGACCAAAATAAACACATGCAGGCTAATATTATTTAAAACTGCTTGGCCATTAGCTCAGGCCTACCACTATCTAGCTCTTACACTCAGTCCATTTTTGTTAATCTAGATGTTGCCACATATTCTGTGTCTTTACCTGTGTGCCTGTTACATGCTGTTCCCTGGACGGGGCTGGCGTCTGCTGCCTCAGCCTTCCTGTTCCCAGAATTCTCTACTCTGTTTGTCCCGCCTATACTTCCTGCCTGGCTACCGGCCAATTAGCATTTTATTTATACAGAGCGATATCCACAGCAGCTTTTCTAAAACCCATAAGTGCTAGGAAACTTTTTAAAACATTCCTAATGCATTCCTAAAGTTAACGCTTAGACAATAGGGTGGCTGGACAAACAGTTTCTCTCTTCCTAATAACTGTATGTTATGTGATCAAGAACAGTCAAGACCAAGGAAGGAAAAGGCTTGAATGCTCCAATAGACATCCCAAAAAGTGTCTCTCCAATTGCAATAAGTATGCACTCATGCTATCTTTTACTTATAAATTTTTCTTTCATTCCTCTTGTTTCAGAGCACCAATGCCTTCTCGTCAGACATGTTCCTTAATATTGTAAGTACTTGCCCTACTTCAGATAGTTTTTCTTAAAAAAAAAAAAAAAAAAGCTTGGAGCCAATGATTGCACTACAATTAGATGAGAAACCACCATGAGCCAAATTTCTAATAGTATACCTCCAGAAGAAAGGAAATATCAGTCAGGAATAGTAGAACAAGAGTAGGACCATGTAGGGAATCTCTGATTTATAATAGATGCAGAGAAATCTCAGGTTTTTGGTAAAATTATCTTCCTACAATCTTATATTAAATTATATATATATATATATATATATATATATATATATATATATATATAGAGAGAGAGAGAGAGAGAGAGAGAGAGAGAGAGAGAGAGAGGTCTAAGATGTGTCCAAGGTGAAGAACTCTGCTGTTCTTTTTTGGAGGCAGTCCCCTCTGCCATTTTTATTGAGTATACTGCAGATATTCCATGAGATGAGAATTTCATTGTTATGTATTACATTCCATGGATTGAAAGAGCTAGCATAAATTGAAACCTTATCAGGTATTGATGGATTAGCTTTTTAGAAGCCCCCTAATGCTAGGAGAATATATATATATATTTCTTTTAATAGAGTTTATTCAACCGGAGGACTGGTTTAGAAGTAGGCATAGTTTTTGTGAGTTACTATGTGTATCTCCTTGTTGTATCTAGCAGAAACTGTTTCTTAGAGTGGCCCTACACCTCTAACTCATGATCTTTCTTTTTCCTTTTCAACATAAATCACTTAGTCTTAAGGAGAGGGCCACAAAGTGCCCCTCCTAACCAAGAAACTATTTGAAATTGATGCCTGATGGGAAAGGAAGAATCTGATTTCCCTGATGGAGTGTAATGGGGTAAATCAACCACACTGCAGGAGAGGCCTCAAACCAGAAGTGGTTGACCAACACAAAACAGACTCTATGTTGTTGAGTTTGGGGTGTTTGGGAGGAATATTGTTTTGATATTTTTCATCTTATTTTTGTTTCTTTTTATTTCTACTCTTTTGTTTTGTTTTTTATTTTGTTTCAAAGAGACAAAAAAAAGAGCAAACCAGAGCTAAGTGGGTATGGAGGTAGGGGGGATTTATAATTATTTGAGAGTGGGTAAAGAATATGATCAAATTATGTTATATTAAAAAAGTTAGTAATAAAAGGGGAAAAAGAAGTAAGTAGTTTATCTTTGCTTGATGGTTGTGTTTTATTTGTACAAGGACATTTAGTTATTTAGTTCAATGATGAGAAAATAAATTAGACCTCAATCCAACAAATGGCAAGCAGAAAATATATCTCAACATTTGTAATAAAAGTCACTCATTGGAGCCAATAAATTTATTTTTACTCACATGTTTTTCTTTCAGTTTGTGTTTCTAGATTTTACAGCCATTAACTGCCTATACTTCCTAGTGATCCATTAAACTTTCACAAAATATCTGATTATTATTTTAAATAATATATTGAAAAATAGCATAGTTAAATAAAAGTTTTAATATACATACTAAATCATATTTTTGTATTTTAATTTATTCTTGTTTAGTCGTTTTTAAAATACTAGACCTGATAACTATTATATCAACAGTAACACAATTCCACTCAGTATTTATGATTAACTTTGCCAGATATAATTAAATATATTCAGCATCAATAGAAAGAATTGTCTAATTTAACAATATCTTGTTAAAGGAAACATCAGTTTTGAGTAACAAAAAAACAGGAGAGTAATGAGTTTTAACTCAAATCCCAGAGTAAAATGAGCTTTAAAATATTAATTATTTTGTTATTTAAAGGACCTCACTTCAAAACATAAATATTGAGAAGCATGGGGATACACAGGAACCATGAGAAAGGAAGTGATTCAGAGGCTAGACACTTAGATGAAAAGAAACTGAAATTTTGTATCTAAAGAGAAAAGAGTAGGTAAAATAGGCATTTTCTTCCTTAATTTCAGGTTTATTTAACACTCACATTTAAAATTACACATTTATTAAATGCATTCATATTCTGATCATGGATCATTGACTGAACTACAACTAACTCAGTTTCTATTTTAACATATACAGACACTAGGATTACTCAAAGACCAAGAATTCATGTTCAAGACATTGAACAGCTGCCATACTTTTTCACTCAACACCCCAGAAACAAAAGAGGAAGCCAGAAAGATCTCAGTGAGTCCTCAGTCCACGGTTTTATCCTAAGGAGCTCAAGTAGTATACTGGATCAGCTGTTCTGTAGGTCATTATGAGCACTATATATGTGTTATAATCACCCCTACAAGGAAATGCTGAAAGAGTAAGCAATGATACAAAATCATATTACATAGTTGATGAATTATAAGAAAATAAAGTTTTAATAATGAAACAATTTTGTAGCTGAGTTATAAATTGTCCATTTACATAACCCTAGTTTAGCAATATCTGGCTACCAATTTTATTTACTATTCTGTAGGAGATTGACCTGAATTGGGTATCTGTGTTTATATATACATTCATGTATATCCATAAGAATGAAAATGTAGTTATATTTATTGTATATTACTAATGCTACCTTATTGGCAATATTTTATACTACTGACCATTAAATCAGCTCCTCTTAATTCTCAAGAATCTCCTGATTCCATGTTTGCATCTTACGAATGTGTTATTACTCTCTGTTTTATGGACTTTTCCTATGGCTTTACTGAAAGGACTCAAACATGAGGATCACGCAAGTACTATTTAATGTTCCTCCAAATGAAACCATGTCCTCAAAAATGTTGGAAAGATCATCTTATTATGGCAGCTATAACTTATAATTGATATGATCATTCCCATATGACCTTTGCCATAACTTATCATGAACTGATTTGGTTTGAACATTATGTGGAAGTAATAATGAGAAGTGAAGGTAGAGGAAGGAGTAGTATTTTAATGACGTTCTTCCCTGGCATTGGTAGACACTTCATAAACTGTTACATTGACTTCACTCCAGTGTCCTCACAAAATGGAATATTATCACACTAGCTGAGAAATAAGAAGTGAAGATGTGGGAGGTTAATGCAGAATTTTAACCACCAGCATGCCCAGTAACATTGGGAGTCTGTAGTTCCTCTAAGTCAAGCATTCACTGCTCCCAGGATTTGTCACCATTTGGTATGGTCTTTTCCTTCATATCTTTATATGTTTTCCTTCACAAAGTTTGTGTCATACCTTTCTAGACTTTATATTTATTACCACAGAATTGCTTACAGATATCAACACAGCAAGTATTTGAAATCACAGCTGGGCTTCATGTATGATCCTGGCAGAGGGCACACACTGGGAAGTCAAACTCCATTGAGGTTTCCACTGATGCTAGTAATAAAGGCAACACTGTGCCATTGATCTTCATCTGCTCATGCTGACAGATGGACTGCTCTGCTAGAGGCAAGGACAGAGAGTGAAGTAGACTGAAGAAAGCACATTCATGTACAACATGATTTCTTTATTAAATCTTTGTTTTCATATCCCCTAAAACCTAACCATCTTAGTTGAGTGTAATTGTGAACCATCTCCTTATTATTACAAATCTGACTGAAAATGATTTGAGCCATATGCCACTGACATTCGTCACAGTTATCTTTCTGAATCAGGTCTTTTGGGTACCTACCAAATCCCAACAAAGTTTTGATTTCTTCTGGACACAATACTATAGGCAAGACCTAAAGTGGGTTCAAATGGTACAATTTCAGTAGGAAAATAAAATAAAAACAACATAATATTTTATTAGGGAAAAAGTTACTATTTAAGATAATGTATTATTTAGCAAAATATAGATGAATTTGTTGAAATTCACAGTTCTACATAATTTTCATCTACAAAATTTATTCTATATATCCACAAAATTACAAACGTACATTTTAGTTATGATTTTCTGATTAAAATAAAAATGCAATGCATCACAACCAACTTCATTTATGTCAATATGATTGCTTACTTACTATTGCATAGCTTGAAGACTTTCTGAAACTGATACTCAGCATATTACATGCCTGGAACAACCCTCTACACCACTTACTAGAGGAACTCAGTGCTATGCCAGGAGCCCCTGATGATAATCTATCGAGAGTTGAAGATATTGAGGTAAAACACAAAGAGCTTCAGGAGAGCATCATGAGGATAGTCAGCAGGGTGAGCAGTCTTCTTACTTTTCTCCTTGAATGATGTGACATATGTGGAGAACGATAGCATTTGAAACACTTCACTCTGCAAGAACACAGTTTATACACAAAGTCTTATCTGTAGCCTGGCCACTAATTGATAGAGCTCTTCCTCATAGTCACCAAGGCAGTACCTTTCCTGGCAAAGTGAGTTGTTCTCAACTATCTACCATTCCTGGCCTCTGTGCATCTAAAGTGAGAAAGATGATACAACCAGTCCTTCAGTTGTGCCTTGCACAAACACAAGTGTCATTTTTTGATCCTCTATGTAACTTTTCACAAAAGAATATGCATTGTCTAGAATCAGTTTCATCTGAGAAAATATATACTTGAGTCTTTCTTCTAGTTTTCAGATGACCAGAAGGATACATGGTATCCAGGCTTTGACACATGAAAATTCACAATTCTGACTCTGGATTTATGTTGATGACAAGACTTAAAAGGGAAAAGGACAATCCAACACAAACAGTAATAATGTGACTATTAATTTTGTCATTAGGTTCATCCTGAAATGGAAGGAAATGAAGAGTACCCTGTCTGGTCAGAGCTTGCATCCTTACAATCAGTGGAGGAAAAATCACGTTTTTTTGCTCTTTATAAATTGTCCTACTGCCTTCGTGTTGACACAGATAAGGTTAACACTTATCTCAGACTCTTGAGGTGTGTACATGTTCATGGTGACATCTGCTACAACTTAGAGGACTGATACTCTTTAATGATCCATTTTTAATGATTTTTGCATGTGTGCTTGAGTGTAACATGCCTCAACAAAAACAAAATAGTGCTTTAAATATGTCGATGTATAATGCGACAGTTATTAATATCTTTCATTCATTTAGTACTAAACACATCAGTAGCATGGACCCCCTCCTAACAGAAAGAATAGATGTTTGATTAGCAAATGATGAAATTGGCTTCTTCCTATTTTCACTCAGTCAATCCTCAAAAATTTCCATTGATGACTTAGAAAATCATATAAAAAAGCAAGACAGATTTTATTTGACAACAATATTTGTTCCTAAAATCATCTCGGAGGTAATAATCTTGGTGATTTTCATGGTCCCTAAACATTATTTGGGAAAAAGTCAGGATCCATCTTGACAAGAGAAAGCAGGCAGCCCCTGTGAAAATCCAATTTCCCAACACTAGCAACACATGGAAGGTTGACTGTACATAGTCAATACCCAGTGGTTTACTGATAACAGCTCATTCCCACCCTCTCTCGCCACCTATCTCCTTTACATACATGGTAAGTTCATGAATTCCAAGTCTCTACCATGGAATTGTACATATAATAGAATTTGAGTTTGTTTTGATATTAGTAACATGACATGAAGAGGTATCAGTGCCTGGGGGGGCAGCCTCCAGCAGCATAGGGCTCAAATGGAAATCCACAGCATCAGCATGTATTAGATTTTTGTTTTATCTTAGGGGGTTAGGGAAAAAGACACTCAAACTCTCGCTTGATGATTTCTTTCTTTATTCTCTATTCTTGTGTGTTCTTTCTGTGTTTTTCCATTACTAGTTGAAGAAAAAAAGAAACTCCAAGATGAAATTTTAAGACCCATGTGACAGCAGGAAGGTCTAACCTCTTCTGATGACTTGAACCCTGAACAGCCATACCAAGGTGTATTTATTGATTGTTACACAAAGTATTTCCTCATACCAAGGTCTCTAATCTTAATTTACATGTCTTACTGAAGGAGAGCATCACATGCTTCCATGACTCTAGTTCTTTATTATGCATTGTGTACAATACACAGTAATACAAGAGCCTCAGGTGTGCCTGAGGTCTCTTGTGACCAAAGTCATGAGATGACTGCAAAGCCCCACCAGCAAAACAATCACTGTCTTACACAAGGATTCTTTAAGGTCAAGGTACTTCTAAAAAACAGCTGTGCATTCTAACATCTACCCCATACAGGCATTCTGCTAAATTCCTACAGAGTACAGGTAAAAACACATTTTTTAAATCTCCCTTACATGATTAAAAACAAAGTTACCCCAATAACCCATATACATTTATATTTAAGTAACTTGTTACATATTAACAGAACATGAACAAGCAGAAAGTATTTTTTCATAGCTGACTCTTTTGTTGGCAGGCCATAGCAGCAGCAAACATGTAAAGGCACAGCAAAAGCAAAAGACATCCTGGGGTGTGAGTTCTAGGGGCCTTGTCTAATGGAGATTCACCCATCAGGGCATTACCTCCTGGTGGGCTGACACCTTGATCTAGACAACTACCAATGGCTAATGAGGCCATGAAACCAAAAAGAGAAAATTTTACTGCAATTTTCTGACATAGAATCGGGGAAATCTAATAAGGCTCCATTGTTAGGTGGAGAAAAGTAAGTAATAAATGATTTTTGTAAGATAGAAAAATCAGTCTTGCTTCAGAATGGGCCCTAAGAGATGAGCACTCATCTTTCTTCTTGATTTCAATTTCAATGAAATATCTGCTTCATGATGTACGGTCAAACTGTGAACCAACCAACCAAACAAACAAACAAAAAACAACAACAAAACCTCCACATTTCTTACTTCTCCTCAGCATCTTCTGACACATATTTCATGTGTTCTTTACTCCTGAGTCTAACAAGCCTTCTTTGGTTTAGTGTCAGCTCAAATTCCAATTACTTAAGACATTAACATTATACTCTTGTGAATCAAGTCACACTCCATTAAATTCAGAGAAGGTCAGTCCAACAATTTCCCTTTTCTTCCTCCTGCTCCATATACAGTCCTTTCTTTGATTTGTATAGGATGGGGTGGAGGATTAGGGGAAATGAAAATTTCTCTTATCTCCAACTTACATAGTGATATGAAAGACCTATTTTAGATAAGATCACAATTTTATTTCCTCTCAGTGGCAACTGACTCTCCCATGGGTCACTTTGGTGCTTTCCAAGGACACCTATTAGGAGAATACCAAAGATATTTTGTTGAATTTTCCTACCTACAGTTCTGACATTAGCATTGTCCTTTACATCCTTTGGCATTGCTTCCTTTATGATAAATCCATAGTACTAGAGAACAGTGGTCAAAGTGATCTTTCTGATGAGAGGACGTGGGGATTTTCTGCATCAGGATTACTAGAATAGTCAAGAAGCAATAGCATTATATCACTGCTGACTCCCCATTGAGGTCTCTACCAACATTGTTCTCCTGCTGTTCATATGGATACAAGCTATCTTAGCAACTTAAATTAATTAGCACTCATCACCTGAGGAATGAGATGCCATTCTCCCTTTTTTTTGAATCCATTGTGTACTTTTGTCTAGGAACAACACCCTTAGATTCATTCACTCAGATGTTCCTGAGTAGGACATTAATCCTAATAGTCATCCAATACAATTAGTCAAAACATCTGATATTTGACTTCTTCAGTCCTCAGAGTTATGATTAGTTGATGGGAGCTCAGCTTGTCATATATGTCTAAGCCACCTAAGAAATGTACCCATCACACTGTGAGATGCTCCTAGAGGAATGTGGATTGCTGGGTTCTATTTCCAAGCATCAGAGATTTACAAAGATTTCCAGATACCAAGAGACCATCTAGATAGAATTCTAATAAATAGAAAATGAAAACAATGGATGAAATTGAGAAAATCGAATGTTGGGGGAAGGAGTAAAAAAAAGAAAGACTAAATAAAAGAAAACCTTCAAAAGGCATGGTGTGCTTTGATACTATGATGATGTAGGTATACTTTGTTACTATCAATGAATCTATAGTGTTAGGATACTAAACTTTATGATCACCTAAAAGTACCTTAAATTTTAGAACCACATATAAAACTTGTATTCCATCTTCTCCTTCCACATGCCTTTTCTCATCTTACCTACTTTCTTGAAAGTTTCATTGCATCAAAAGTACCTTTTCCTTCATTCATTGAATTGTTAGAGCTCTAGGTGACAATCAAAACTAGACCACTCTCCATGACAAAATTCAAGAATAAGTCTTGCTATGTAATGAAAATTCCTGGAGCTTATAAGACAACAGTTCAGGTAAACTTATTGGTTTCCTCACAGCCAGACTTATTTGCACTGAATCTGCCTTCTCCCTAACTGTGACGATCTTCCCTTTTTTTTAAATACAACTGAACACCATTCTTCAAAATATATCAGTTCCTCTATTTTCTCTTGAATACGTTCAAAATCATTATTGCTCTGACATATTTCAAACTTTTTTCTTCAAAAGGTGGATATATATCATGAGATCCAGGGATGTAGATGAATTTCTAAATGGTCTTTTTTTAAAAAATATATATAGTTGAATGTAACTTGCTTCATTGTTTGAGACAAGGTCTCATTAGAAAACTCTAGCTACCATAAACTTCACATTGTATAGCTTAATGGATAATATATAATGAATATTGTAAAACAAATCCCAGTAAACATTTCATTTCTATACCATTGGCCCATTATTCAAAACATGACAGTTTTATTATTAAATAAAAACCTGGAGCCAGATATAGGGGTGAAAACTTGAGAGATCAGAGAAATTGGAAAAGCCACAAGTTAACCTCACCTCACCAATACCTCAGTATCCAAAGAGACCTACTTCCTGTATACCCACGCCTATATGCCTGTCTGTTTTGCTATCTCATTTGCTCTCTGTCCAGCTACATCACTTCCTCTTCCTGCCCAGCTCTGTCACTTCCTGTCTGTCTGTGCAAACCTACAGACCTCTATGGTTAGTGCTGGGATTAAAGGTGTGTGTTACCATGGTTGGCTCTATTCCCAGTGTGGCTTTGAACTCACAGAGATAACAGATCCCTACCTCCCGAATGATAGGATTAGAGGCACATGCTACCATTGCGTGACTTCTGTGTTTACTATAGTGGCTGGCTTTTCCCCCTGATCCTCAGATAAATTTTATTGGGGGACACAGTATATTGGGGACACACTACATCACCACACAGGGATACTTTATATAAGTTAGTTTTGATTTCTCAATAGTCAGTTTATGAATGTGTGATGATAACTAAACAGGGAGGAAACTGGGCAATGACTGACAATTCTAAGGAATGTAAATTTCACAGTATTACATAAAGCATGAACTTTATACTGCCAGTTACTCAATTGTATATGATGGAGAAAGGCCTCTGTGCAAAAGTGGCATATAACTGAAATCAAACTTTTCAGAGAAAAGTTATTATACCTATAAGTGTTACACAGAATCAGCAAAAAGAAGGAAAAAATATTTAAGAAGAACATAGCAGTCAGGCCTCTCTAATGAGGTTATGTGTGCTTGTGTCTATGGATTTCAACATAAGGTGACATTAGAGGAAACAATCATTTTATTGTAGGAATAAGAGCTGTGATATCAAAACAGAAAGAAATAAACACCACAAATATTCATCTGATATTTTGAATTATGGGCACTACAAATACCAAAAGAAAGTTTTAAAAAATCTGGCTGCTAGTAGTTTTAGTTGAACATGGGGGGACGGGTTAGATAAATATGTAGATTACTGCACTAATGTCACAGCAGTGGATACTGCTAAGTAAAGAAAATACGAACAAAAACAAACAGCAAAGAAATTACCGAATGATTAAATCTTTTCTTTCAAGGCCTCATGGCTTTGATGGTTTGATGAAATGCTGATTGATCAAAAAAGGAAAAAATATATTCATCAATTAATCTTCAGTATTCCTATATCATTTGCATACACTGACTTTTAGTAAAAGGAGATATGTTTT